TTCATGGAAATGCATATTATGAAAAAAATTGTGCTTTGAATTTCAATTTTTTCCACCAAAATAAGCTTGTTAATTTCATGAACTTTTTAAAAGTCCCCACCACATACAGTAGGAGGTGAATAAGGAAAAGGATATTGGGGTGAAACTGCTACAGCCTATACCCTGGAATATGTCACACCTAGGCAAGGGGACAGATCCATGGACAGTCAGATCACTGTAGGGTACAGTGGAAAGGGAGCTACTTTCTTTTTTGTTAAGCAACTAGTGTGTGTTGGATCTTACATGGTACTGGGGGCAAGAAGATAGGTACAGACAGATGCCTTTGGGAAGAGTTGGTGATTGAAATGAGCCAGGAGAGAGGGCTAGAGCTTAGAGTTTGGGGGCTAGAGACTCCCAGGCAGAGGAACAGCATGGGCAAAGGCGTGGAAGCTGGAAAGCTCTGAAGTGTTTTTGCACAACCTGGAGTTAGCAGATGCCTAGTCATTTGAAGCAAAAATTAGAACACACAGGATGACGAAGGACTTTTTTCCCTGTGAATTTATTGGAAAAGTGTTGCAAAATAAAAATTAAATTACTTTTAACCAGATATTTCACTTCTTGCCTTTATTTTTAAAAATGATTATTATGGGAAATGGAGTCATCTTAGATGATCTGGAGGGAAGGTTGCTGTAATTTGAGTTGCCAAACTGGAATTCCAGGAGAGAAGACTGGGGAAAAGGAGGTTGGAGCCAGTTTGGAAAAAGGCTTGAATGCTGGGCTGAGAAGTTTACATACTATCCTGCAGACTGCAGGGAGCCATAGATGTGTTCAAGCACTGGCTTTGGGGAATTCATTTGGAATGGATCTTGCAAGTGACAACTGTAGTTAGGGAGAAAGACGTGGCTTATGACCTTCCCCATAGACACTGCTGTGGTGCCTTGGCTGTGTGCTCCTTGGGAAAGGGCTCCACTACACTTTCTCATCCTCTTCTTTGTTATGCTCTGACCTGCTAGCACTTAGGGCAAACACCACAAAACACCACCTTCAGGGTGGACAGAGGGGCAGGCACAGGGGTATTTCATAATTATTAAGCAGCTATGGGAGTTTGGATTCAGCCGGGTAGTGTGTATATGAATGTGCATGTGCATGAACTTCCTAAAATGGGACACAAACGTTGATGGACCTTCCTGGAAGTTGTCATTAGATTTTCTAAGGCAAGTGTCTGTGAAAATTTGAAAATCACAATGCGTGTTCACCACGTGAGAATTTTTTTTAACAAACACATAGCGCTCACTTTGTTGTAAGCGCTTTAACTCCTGGCAACAAATCTACAATATGAGGTAGGTGCTGTTATCATCACCCCCACTTGCTAGAGGCAGACTGAGGCACAGGGAGCTAACTTATCCAAGGCCATAAAGCCCCAAGAGGAGAACTCAGACCATCTAGTCCCAGAGTCTGTGCTCCTACCACTGGAAGTTGGGAATATGTTGTGAAATTAGGGAGTACATAACACAGATATTATGGAGGTCAAACAAACTTGCATGCAGGTGGGTTGGGCTACCCAACTTGAGTTGTCTTCTCTAAGGGACTGTCTTCAGGGAGGCCAGTTGGTAGAGGAAAGCTGGGAGGGGTGGGAAGGGAGCCATCCCAGAGACTGCAGGGGCAGGGAGTTGGCCTGGACAGGAGGGAAGGACTGAGATCCCTCCTTCTGCACCTTGTCCTGCAGGAGGTAGCTGATGCTCTGGGAGGGGGTGCAGACCCAGAAAGCAACTCGACCAGTAACCGCAGCAGCTCAGCCTGGGACCTGGGCAGCGCCTTCTTT